AAAACTACTGACTTAAGTCATCTAGTTTTTTTTTTATTTACTCGAAATGTTTCGAAATCTGTAAAACTCAAATTAAAGCTGTGACTACATGGCTATAAAAAAAACAGAAGCGACCAGAATCTTCCAACTCCCTCAAAAGTTCTCTAGTCCATCCTTTTGCTAATGATGTGTCACATGTCATAAATATCTCTCAACAACTTTGTAAATTCGATAGAATTGTGAATCGAGTCACTTAAGGCAAATATTCAGAATTATGATTTAAAAAATTATTTTCGTTTGAATGATACCTGAACCTATTAAGTTTGTTATCTTACTGTTATGAGGTGAAATCTGTCTCGTATCTCTATTTTTTCATGGATTAAACTTGAAATAAACAAAGAATAAAATTGCATTTTCAATATTTATTTCGCATTCATCTCATGAATCTCACAAATCCTGCTCAAATTGTTGACCTCCGTTGCGAATGCAGGCTCGACATCTGTTTCGTATTTCGACAGTTGTTGTTCGAAGTTGTATTTCCTCCTTAATGGTATCGAAGGCCGTTTCTATGCGTTGGACTAATACATTCCTTAGTTGGAACTTTCGTGGCGTATACCAGCCCTATGGAAGGTCCCCAGACATAAAGTCTAACGGAGTTAGGTCTGGGGAACGTGGCGGCCATACAATAGAGCCATCGCGCCCAATCCACGCATCATGAAAGAATCGCGGAGTACGATGAAATGAACACGTTAGGTAGCAGAGGCAGTGATGTCTCGACTAAAAAATTATGGGGTCGGTGGCAGTTCGTGATTTGTGCAAGAAATATGAAGTTTACTTGTTACTGGAGTAACAGTAACGAATAAATAATTTTTCAGATCATTTTTAATAAAAGCCTTATGTGACTTGATTGCCATTTCTAGCGAATTCACAACGTTGTTAAGAGATATTAATGGCATGTGACACATTGTCAGCAGGAGGATAGGCTAGAGAACTTTTGAGGGAGTTGGAAGATCCTGGTCGCTTTTGTTTTTTTTTTGTAGCCATGTAAAGTCACAGCATTAATTTGAGTTTTACACATTTCGAAACTTTGTGAGTATATTTAAAATACTGGATGACTCATGTCACTAGTTTTGCAATCAAAAGAACTCTAGCACAATACACACCTGACAGAAATTGAAATTCAGTCTACGCCAAATACTTTTTTTAAATGTGTATTTGAATGTGGAATTTGGGTCTTTTTCTGATAAACAGATAAAAAGACAATTGAAAATAATCCACAGAGCATGAAAGGTGTTAACTAGTCTTAAAGGATAGCAGATGGCCCCTTCATTCAGCCATTTCAATTTGGCACACGATGCACCAAACACCCTGTATATTAAACTTTTGTCAGTGTAGGTACATAATGTAAACTTACTGTGATTCAGAAGGCTGACCACCCGAAACTGCGTTTCTGAAATGCTTTCCCAAAGCCGTGAATTTTTTGTAGCACTGTATATAATAACCTCTTCAATTAGGTTTGAAGTTGACGACAATACTACACTATTATAATTCAAATTATTTTCACAATGCATACTCAATATTTCTTTTTATTTTTCAAGAGTGTTCTCAACAAAAAGTATAACATTGTTTATCTTTTTGCAAGCAAATAACGCAGATGAGAGACATTTTATACGCACGAAACAATCGACACTGCACAGCCACCACCGGGGAAGCGTTTAGGAACGATACCCTGGTGTATTGGGTGCACTCCAGAGTTACCTTTGACCGTTTGAGAATCGGAAAGTGCACTTTGGAGCGTCTTTTATGAACCGTTCAGGAATGAACAAGAACGTTGTATCAGTGTGCACCCACATCATTCCGCTCTGGACTGGAGAAAAAATCGCTCAGGAGACCAAACTATCTTCAAAGCACATTATTTGTCGTGTTATGTTGTTTTCTGTGATCTTAGGAAAGGTTCCTTTCAATGGTTTCTAACAGTTTTTGGTAAAAGTTAAAACGACTTACTTCTACACTACACTGTTTTACCACTAACCAAACCGATTTTTTAACGCCTCTACACGTGTTTCGCTAACTATGTTCGAAGAACTGTATCTTGGGAACCAATAGGATAGCTGTATAGAGCTCGCCTTGCTCTCAGATTGTAGCGAATTTAGTTATCTTCAAAATTCATGCGGTAACTACACACACTGGCACAATTAGGGGAACGGGAAAAATTTACACTAAGTTTGACATCAATTTTCTTTCGAACCGATCGCTCGATTCAAATTTTTTTTTTTCACGAATTGTAGCTTCATTCTTCACGAATACATCTGAGAAATAATTACCTTCAAATTATTATTCATCTCGATATCTCGATTATTCAAGAAAATACAGAGTTTCAAAGGAAAGGTGGATATTGGTATCAATTTTACCACCTCGAAACTCAAATTGGATCTGGAAAAGTGTCGTTTCTTGAGTAACCTAACCTAACCATGACTACACCTCTGCCATAAGAGACAGAAGCAGTAAAATCAAATTGTTCATTTTGTTCACCTCGGCGATATAGTCTTTCCCTGCCATCTATCTAATTGATGCAGATGTGGCTCTCATATGTAAAAAGAACATTGGCCCACTGGTCATTTTCAATTAATGCTACAGCCCTCGCCACATCAGTAGGAGTCGAATCTCTCATGTTGAATTTTCATCAATCAAATCCATGAATTGTGAATCGCTTGACTTGACAATAATTAATGACATGAACAAAATATGCCAACGTTGATTAACAAAAATAGCATTTCAACAAAGGAACATTGGAGCAACTTTTATTACCCCTCCATATTCATGAGAGTATTCGTCTTCAAACAGTAAACCGATAGGTAAAACAACTGTGAACAATTCTCATCTTGAAGTGAAAATCCTTACAGAAACAAGTTGAAAAACGACACGTTCTCCCCAGTTCGAGTTCAGAGGTGGTTAAATTAATACCAATATCCAGCTCTTCTTTGAAACTCTGTATTTTCTTGGATAATTAGGATATCGAGATGAATAAAAAACGGAAATATTCGGGATAAATTGGGCTATAATTTGGTGTTGGAAAATCGTTTCAATCATCAGTGGTTCACTCCACAGGATGTCTTAAAGAATACCGAAAAATCCGTACTTTCTTTACACCCCTGTATATGATATAAATATGAATCGTTTGGAGGTGGTTATTTCTCAGATGTATTCGTGAAGAATGGAGCTACAATTCGTGAAAAACAAATTTGAATCGAGTGATCGGTTCGAGAGAAAATCGATGTCAAACTTAGTGTAAATTTTACCCGTTTCCCTAATTGTGCCAGTGTGTGTATTATAGCGGTCAAACTCTTTCTTCTCTGAGATATTGAGCGAAAACTGTAATAAGTCCGAAAATTTCATGGTTTTTTGGCGTCGCTCGCACAGCACTTTGGAAATTGCAAATCTGGTTTTTCAATATTGGTTTAGGTCCTAACAACATATAAATAAATCAGGATGACCGGACCTTTGGCAAGCACGGATGTATATCTTCATTGGACTATAAACTCTTGCACCGAGATCGTTCCGGCGACAACTTATGTGGGGTGCTGACTCGCCGCATTCCACAACCATAGAGTCTGACCATTTCCCCCCGTTTTTTTATACTATGAACTAGTACTCTACTAATTTTTAATCATAACTGAACACTTGTAGAGCATGTCGTAATTTTACATACATCATAGCCGCCGCATTGTTCCACTAACTGACCTTGCGGGTGGGTGCTGACTCATCCCTAATAACACACTTATGTTCCATGGATATCCTTAGGACGTCCTGTCGGGACATTCAGGACGTTCATAGGACGTTCGAATTTGGTACCGTGGACGTCCATTGGACGTCTGTGGGACGCACAAATGTCTCACTTGAGGACCAACTAGGGACGTCCTTGAGGGATGTCCCTAAGACAACTGTCGAATACCTAAATCCTCCAGTATTCCTCATCAAGCACTACAGAGGACATCCTTAGGACATCCATAGGACAACCTATCAGCAACGCTGAGGGATATCAATTGGATGTCCATAGGATGTCCCAGGGACGTACGAATAATTCTTGAATTTGATTTTTTCTGGGTCCCTCTAGGACCAGATCTTGCATAACTGATCAGGACATCCAGTTGAGTTGATGGTCCGTAGAAGGTCCCCACGGACGTCCGATGGACTTACGTGAAGGACATCGACGAGGAGTACTGATAGCCTACGAGCAATCATTCGTCGGCGAGGTGTAAGTAAACGTCCTCACAGGGACAACATATTGAAAGTACCGACTGTGACGTCCATAGGACGTTATTTCTAGGACATTGAAAGAGTACAGTTCATGTAACATTTGGGACATCCGACGGATATCTCTAAAGGCACATTCGAAGGATGTCCCTAAGGGAAATTTCGATTGTTATACGATCCTGGAGATATTAAGGGCGTCTGTGCAGAGATATTTGAAGGAATGTACCATCAGGGACATTTCATGGTTATCTAGAAGAAACATTATATAGGATCTGAAAGTCATGTCAGAATATGTACTACTCGATACATCCGATGGATGTCCCTAAAGGAACGTTCAAAATCATATCTCATCAAGGACATGCCAAGGACGTCCTTGCATGGACATTCTACAATATGTACCACGTGGAACGTCTAAGGAATGCTATTTCTAGGACATTTGAAATGATGTACCAGCTGGGACATTCCGTGGACGTCCTTGCTCGGACATTGAATGAGATGTACGGGATGGGACGTCCCAAGGACACTTATTTTTGGTACGGGACATTCGGAAGAGACTTGTACCAAATAGGGACGTCCCTAGGACGTTGTGTGCTATTAGGGATGTACACCCTCAATACTAAGTCATATTGAATTATGGGCGCCATTACTAAACTATTACCGATTTTTGCCGCTAGCTCTTAGACTATTTTATTATTCGTTATTACCTATCTATATCAATATCATCTCGTTCATGAATACCTACTTCAACACTATTTAATTGTTTTCAGATCCGATTCTAGCAAAATGGCCTATGATGTCAAATCCATTGAATACGATATTGATTTCGTTATTCCACATGTACTTCGTTAAGGTGAGAATACATTTTTATTCACAACATTAGGGCACTTTTCAGTTGGATCATGTTGGATGATTAGAAAGATAAAATGTCTAAACTGATGCAGGCAATAGTAGAAAGCCCTCTGCTACGGATAATTTTAAATTAGTATTTCATGCAACGATCATGTATTGATAGTCATTAATGTGGAATGGTATGGAAAATATTCTGATAATATCGTCTAAGTAATGATCTTTGGATTTCTAAGCCTATCAATCATCGAAATGTCATTGCATTCGGGCCATAGCCAACTTCATGTATTTTGATAAAATGCAATTTAACAACAAATTAATGAACGAATATCATATTAACAATGCGTTGAATAGAGAATTTCAAGGCAAATAAGATAGGCTACAGAAATATACAGGGTGCCATTTGAAAAAAAAAGTTGGTTCTACTTCCAATCAAACAGATGGTTGAAAAAAAATTGTCATTGTATTCAAGGAAAGCGCCATCATCAATAATATATAGCCCTCGTGAATTTAAAATTTTTATCTCTTCAAATAAAAAAAGTACAGGCTGTTACATTTATCCTGTGTCACCCGGTATATAACAATAATCCTGAATCATCAAAAGAATAACATTTATTTTGATTCGAAGTTACTATACACGAATTATGTTGTATTGCTTATCAATTACTTTATATTGAAATTGGGTTCACGAAAGTAATCAAATATCAGTAGGATTAGAGGGTATATCGATGGAATGTATACATGTTTGCAATCGAATGAATAACGAAAGGTGATGTATGTAGATCATTTGGAAATTTTCATAAGAAAATACGAATCTGGCTTCAAACTTAGTGAAGGCAATAATAGTGTGTTGGTTCTGCTCTGTTGCTATTAAGTATATCACGCATACAATTGATTCAGATATAAATTCATTTAATATATTTCCCTTTCTCAAATATTAAAAAAAATGCGTGAATACGCATGCTCATGAATCAATAATCACTGATGAAACTTCATAATGCCTGTCATGTACAGGGTGTTTGAATGTATCTGGAATATTTGTGAAGACGACTGATCTATTGAAGAAAAAGTGCAAAAAATATTATGCCATAATAAAATAGCCCAGCAGGAGGTGAAGTAGATGAACGAAAAGACAAATAAATTCTGGTCGAGTACATTCTTTTTTTCTGTCTCCTATATCCCTGATAGTACACAACGTTCTAAGGGCGTCCTTGGCATGTCCCTGATGGGATATAATGGACCCCGCACGAAAACACGGAAAATTGGCTCTCGGTCAAATTGACTGAAATTATACTATGTTGTTGTGGGATGGATCATTAGGAAAATATGTGAGTTTGAAAAGTTTTGTATGTTTAGTTTCTGAGATATAAGCCGACAAAGTTTGCAAAAACGTCGTATCGGGGTAGGATTGACAAAGAAAAAACTGTTTTTTCAGTATAAATAAGACAAAATAAGCTAGAAAATGTATTGATCGGAACCGATCGTAACTCAAATTCATGTCTAGTTATGATCACATAAATTATAGTGAATCAGGGAGTATACGAGGCACGGTCAAAAAATTCATTTTTTTGGAAAAAAAATTCGAGCACTATTCCAAAACCAACAAGTTATTTTTTGGTGAGAAATTATAGTTTCAGTCTTTGTAGGCTTCGAAAACGTATTTTCATTCTTGATAACTATCTCTGTTCAAAATATGAATTCTTTAGATTTTGTGTTATATACCCCTTTTGGAAAACAATTGAGAGCTTGTTTTTGATCACAAAAAAGGGATTGATTGATATTGTTGATTTAATGAAAGCTGAGGTAACTCACTAGCGAATTCAGTTGTTCAATATTGCTTTTCATTTAGATACAAGGTGTGTTAGATTTTGTTGAAGATAATTTAAAATGTTTCAATTGAATATCTCGAAAACAGTTCCGTTAATTTAGATCTCATTTTACTCACACTATTTTCAATATGTTGACTATCATATGCAGAAAGTTTTTAAATTTTTCATGTTTCGTTTCTGAGATATGCATTCTTGAGGTAACAGTATTACAGGTATTATATAGGGTTATTACCTCGGATTACTATCGATTCATCAGAACTTTACGGAATCCATACTGTTGAGTTTCATATTGTTATTCAATATTCAATAGCAAGAATTCATATTTCGAACAGAGATAGTTATCATGAATCAAAATACGTTTTTGAAGCCTACAATAGACTGAAACTATAATGTCCCATGCACCAAAATATAACTTGTTGGTTTTGGAATAGTGCTCGAATTTTTTTTTCCGAAAAATGAATTTTTTTGACCGTGCCTCGTATACCTCGATTTACTATAATTTGTGTGATTATAACCAGACATGTTCATGAGTTCCGATCGATACATTTTCTATCCTATTTTGTCCTATTGATACTGAAAAATCAGTTTTTTTCTTTGTCAATCCTACCCCGATACGACGTTTTTTCGAACTTTGTCGGCTAATATCTCAGAAACTAAACATACAAAACTTTTCAAACTCACATATTCTACAAATGAGCCATCCCACAACAGCATAGTAGAATTTCAGCCAATGGGCTTATATCACAAAAATTTTTTATTTCATAATTCGATAGAACTCACCCAAACTAGCTCACCACCGCAAACCGTTTCTCGCTGTGAGCTCCCTACGTTTTATAAAAAATTATTGAAATCCCCGATTTTTCGGACCTCCGAAAACGAGGCGATGATGTGACGTCAAAACCCTAATACTGAAACAAGACTATTCCAGACAGAGATGAATGATAAATGATTTCTGACAAAACACCAAGATTGGTGAATCTGCAAGTTGATTTTTGGGACAAAGATAATGAGAACAAGAAGAAGATCAATTCTAACCTATATTAACTTTTTGCAAATCGCGAAACTTTCGAATATTAAATTGAAATATTTCGACAAAAGTATGATTAAGAAATGTTTTGTGCCTGATTGCAATTATAAAAACATCATTTAGCTGGGAATTTTGGGAACAAATCTGGTCCCCTCACTGGGTAAACACGATATTGTAGTTGTTTTGCTTTGCAGAAATTCATTGGGAAATTGCTTGAAAAATGAATGATCCATCTCTTAGAAGAACATTCGAAGGGAGATGCAAGTAGTATCTAGTCTAGGGAATAACCATACATTGTTTCATGCCAATTGATCATATTGTTGCATAGGTAAACATATCTATCAGTGACTGATTTAATGAGGATTCTCCATATGATGGGTATTCTGATGTTAAATATCCTTTCAGGTGAACAATTTTTCAATACAACTATACCTAATAGATACAAGCAATGAAAATTGAATGAATATTGTGTAACAAACCTTTCAGATTTTCTATTCCTCACTTCAGCACTGAGAAACTGTATGTTAGGGACATAAAAATCATTAACCATTTCCAAATCAATTTTTGGGAGATTATCTGGAGAGCCTTTTACAAATCTTGATTCAACGTTCATGTTTATAGTCAATATATCAATATAATATAAAGCAAGATTTGGAGGTTAATTTCATTTCGTGTCTTCTCTTCTCATTTTAAATGAAATAAATGACTTCGGAATCGGAATTCGAGACTCGATGCAAATGCAGCTCCATGTAAAACGAGTCAACAAAGCAATGTTGCTGCGTTTATTAAATGTATTGGATTATTGTGAAATTGTAATGGTGCAAATGGTTTGAGATTGAGATATTACGTTGTCAAGAGTATGTTTATATTCCAATGATTCAACCTACAGTCGACAACTTGAATATATTCTTCTGCAGTAGTTGTAGTGGATATCAAAAGATATTTCAATATCGATTTCGATCTCTCGGATATTTTGTTTGGATGATATGGCAACAGTGATAAGTGTCACACATATGTCACTCTCATTGGTTCAAGGCGAGATGAGGTTTCTACGTCATAAGAGGGTCCGTTTTCAGAAGGCACTATTATTTATGTGCAAAAATAAAACATTCCAGTTGATTTTTCGATCGAATTATGTCGTCAATCATTATTTATGTATAAAAGAATCATTATAAACATGGTTTGAGTTGAAATTTCTACTAAGGTGTACACGCCCATTCGACCGAGAGCCAATTTCCCGTGTTTTCGTGCGGGGTCCTTAAAACGTTCCTCTAGGGACATCTATATCGGATGAAATGTCCCAGACGGTACTTTTTTCCAAATATCTCTGCACGGACCCTGCCCTAAATATTTCCAGGATCATATAACATTTGAAGTATCCGTTAGGAACATCCGTCGAATGTTTCAATTACGTCCTGCGGATATCCCAGCCAGTACCTTTCCTTGCGGCGAAGTTAACTTACACCTCGCCGACGATCGACTGTTCGTAGGCTGATACTCCACGATACTCTGTAAATGATCCATTGAACATCCTCTTGGGAACCTTCTTCAGGATCTATTGGGGACTTTTTACGGACCACCAACTCGAATAGATGTTCTCATCATTCATGCAAGATTTGATCCTAGGAGGACCCAAATGAATTTGAATTCGAGAATAATCCGTACGTCCATGAGACATCTCATGGACATCCAATTATTATGTAATTGTATGTCCTATGTATGTCCTTCGTAGTGCTTGATGAGAAATACTGTAGGATTTAGGTTTCCGATAGTTCTCCCAGGGACATTCGAACGTCCTATGGACGTCATAAATGTCCCGACGAGACGTCCTAAGGATGTCCATGGGACATAATTGTGCTATCAGGGTTAGGGAGTGTTTTTGTTGATAAGACCATTTCTTCTTATCTTCATCTGCAGGATTTCATCTTGGAATATACCACCTTTCTATATAACGTATCACCATCAGGTACAGATTCAACGGAGGATTCAACACATAAGCACCTATTTTTTTTTTGTATTTCAGGTATTAGGACCCGCAATCATGATGAATAGGAAACCGTTTCAATTGCAGAGGACGTTATTGGTGTACAATTTTTGTCAAGTCATTTTTAGCTCTTGGATATTCTATGGGGTAAGAACACTAGAAATAATGGAGGAAGAATTTTGTATATTATTACATTTCAGTTCGCTAGCAGTGGATGGTTGACAGGAGAGTACAGCTTCAGATGCCAACCGAAAGATACTTCAAACTCCCCCCACTCGATAACTGTGAGTATTCTACTGAATTGTGGATTCCTGTCATTTTTGGGGAACATCGTATGTAAATATAGGAAGAAAAGGTAAGAATTGGACTTCTTGGAGACTGTACGTTTTTGGAAATAACTTCTTTGGCAGAAGATTCCAATAACGCTTTCCCTTCAATAGACGAATGAGTGCTGATGAAGAGTATAGTTCGACCTGTCTTGAGGTTGATGACGATAGGATGATTGTGATGCTGACTGTGTTTGTCGAATTCGTCTGACAGGTGTTGCTATAGTGACGGAATGATAGCCAAGGATTCTTACATTTTCCATGAAAGTATCTATGGACCAGTGAAAGGTCGCCGACTTTCTCACGGTGTTTGAATGATGGCGGTTACTTAGCCAGTAAACACTTACCCGATCACAAAACGTTGAATAACGGTTAGAATCGTGGAAATTACGTTGCTGATTTATAACTTAAACGTCGAAATTTGATTGAAAAAAAAAAAAACGAGAAATCAACAGGTTATTTTAACTTTTTATTTCCAACAATTCATCACATTCTGTTGATCTAGAGCTGAACTACTACTATTAATTAATCATTAAACGATGAAGGAAAACGTTGAACGTTTCAAGCAAAAAAACTTAAAGGACCCCGCACTTTTAGTACGTAAAATGGTTCTCGGTGAAATTTTCTGAATTTTCAGTATGTTGTAGAATTCGATGAACTGATTGAACCTGCAGAATCGTAAAGTTCTTTGATGAACAGATTCTGAGATACAGGGCGTTGAAGTTACAAATCGGTATTTTTCATTTAATTAATTTCTCGAAATTCAAAGATGCCAAGTACAATTTTCTTCGCTCATATCATTAACGAACCTCCATATTACTCATCATAATTCAGATGGTTCAGATGATGTAATTGTTTACAGAGTGAAACATATAAACATTTCAGTGATGTCTGAAAGTTCGATGTAATAATGAAATATCGAAAAAATAATTTAGGCATGCAATATATTATTCTCATTCCATCATGAATCATAATTCATACATTTCATACAGGGTGATTCGAAAAATTGGTGACACCTAAGACCGATTTATTCATACACATCCTGTATATTCGAGTGGATTGTTAACCTCCCAAGATAGCTGATACCGTATGAACATGATTTCGTTGAGATATATAGGGTGATCATGAAGATTTTCGATGATGAAAATGACAAAAAATCGTGTTTTTTGAAATCACCCTGTTATTCATGATTAACTCGGTGAAATTCCCTAATTATTTTTTAATGTATTCATCATTCGCTCCTCAACGCTGTCTTGAAAATTCCGTTTCATATCATGACGGGTGTCATAGTTATTAATTCAGGAACTTACCATTTGCATGAAGAGTTGAAGAGACTTGTTCACTTACATTCGCATAGTGGGCGATATTTTTCACATAGATAGTTACGCGAATTTCGTTGGTATACAAGCTCTGCCAAAATGAAAAACGAACAATACCTAGGAGATGGGAGAATTATTCGGTCTTCCACGCTTCCATTTCTAATAGGAAGAGTTGAATCCTGGAATCGAAATTCGCCTAACTATCTGTACATTATATTAATATTAATAAATTCATATATCTGCTATTGTTATTGAATTTCTAATGTTCACCCTGTGTATGAATACTAAACTTATTTTCGTCTCCACAATCTCACGTTTCACTATCTGTGAAAAATATCGCCCACTATGCGAATGTAATAAGTTAACAAGTCTCTTCAACTCTTCATGCAAATGGTAAGTTCCTGAATTGATAACTATGACACCCGTCATGATAGGAAACTGAATTTTCAAGACAGCGTTGAGGAGCGAATGATGAATACATTAAAAAATAATCAGGAAATTTCACCGAGTTAATCATGAATAACAGGGTGATTTAAAAAAACACGATTTGTTTTCATTTTCATCATTGAAAATCTTCATGATCACTTTATATATCTGAACGAAATCATGTTCATACGGTATCAGCTATCTTGGGAGGTTAACAATTCACTCGAATATACAGGATGTGTATATTCTATATATACATATAGGTTTGGTTACTTCACCCGAATATGTATAAACAGTATTCTGAAACGGGTTGTACCTGTAGCTTTTTCCTCAGAATGAAAATCCAAGTTTTTGCATAATATAGTGGACTTTATGGTGATAGTGGTAGCACTGCGTTATATCAGGCATTTTGAGCTTTAATTCTCTAGAGGAATCACAGGCTTGAGTTTTGGTGACGTTGCATTCGACTAGGTTGTTGATTGATATGGAGTAGGAAGAATATTGGAGCCGAAATTGACCCTTGTGACACGCCGGAATCGTTAGCTATGGTGTCAGGTGGTGCCATTGCTGAAGTGGTAAGCAGTATGATGGTAGTTTGTGGAGAAGTACTTGGTGCCAAACATAGTCGAATGCTTTCGATATATAACGGAATCAGAGTCAATTCATTTTTGAGAATAATATAGGTGGAATTCCATCAGGAACGTTAGTTCATTTTGAGACCAAGCAGAATGCGTCTGAATGTTCGTTGGCAGAAGACTTTCAGCGGCAGGAATATCTGGCGGCACTTCAACAACGAAGTCAAGGTAGTGCTCAATTCTGAATACTACTCCTATAATTATGTTTCATATTTCCATGACGAGAACCAGATGAAAACTGAAAACCAGAAACTTCCAAGGAATTTAATAATTAATAGTATGATATATATATTATTATGTAAAACAAAATCAATTGATATGAAAAAAATAGTTGGGAACACATTTGTGTATTGGTTGAAAACAACGTTTATGTGAGCGTTATTTTTGCGTTATTTCAACCGTTTTGGTAATTTCATTACGTTATTTAGACGTATATAAGTGTGCCCACTAGGATAGTGGATTTGGAGTCACCAACCAGTCGAATGGCTCGTCTCTGGATGGAATAAAATCAACATAGGTTTGGTTACTCCACTCCAATATGTATGATCAGAATTCTGAAACGGGTTGTACCTGCAGCTTTCTCCTCACAATAAAAATAAATCCAAGTGTTTGTGAAGAAGCTTATTACGCGATGGATCTGATGGAAATACGGAGCATAATATGGTGGACTTTATAGTGATAGTGGTAGTACTGTTATATCAGGCATTTTGAATTCTAATTTTCTAGAGGAATTATATAGGCTTGATTTTTGGTGACGTTGCATTCGACTAGGTTGTTGATTGATATGGCGTAGAAACAATATTGGAACCAAAATTGACCGTTGTGAAACGTTGGATTCGGTGTCTATAGTATCAGACGATAGATAGTCAATTTGTCATCACATGGGGCGATCTGTGTGAGAAAAAACAATGAAAAAGGCATCGGAGTCAGTTCCTTTCTGAGAACAATAGGTGGAATTCAATCAGGATCGTTAGTTCGGTTTATGACCAAGCAGAATGCATCTGATAGTTCGTTGGCGAAAGACTTTCCACGGGAGGAATATGTGACGACACTTTACACCTCAAAAACGAAGTAAAAGTGCTGCTCAATTCTGAAAGCTACTCCTACATATTATGTTTTATATTTCCACGAGAACCAGACGAAAACTGAAAATCGAAGATTATTCGTTTGAAGCATTTTGAAGCTACTCAAACTCCTCTCAATCCAGTCAGATCTTTTATTCAATTACCAATACTCCATTTATTATTATTGATTCTCTAATGTACTCATCGTCTTTTACAGATGGCCCGAGCAACTTATTGGTATTATGTTTCCAAGCTTACAGATTTACTTGATACGGTGAGTAGTACCCAAATCCATTATTTTTTACAGCACTTTCCATCAAACAGGTGTTATGATAAATTTCAGGATGAATAGGTATATCAAATATTCAACGGCAGGTGGGAAGGAATTATCTGACAAAATCTTGTTGCTCAAACACTGTACCCCACAATAGGCAAGAACACTTATTTCTTGTAAAAATACTATAACGTTCATCGCGATGGGAAAATGCATAGAGAATTTTTTAAAATTTCTTATTCCTTCTAGATTTCTCAAAATAAATTATCAGTGGAATGAAAATTCACTATTGAGTGAGATGAACAGGGTTGCCGTTTCAACCGATTCTTTACTTCTTTGAATATTTACAATTATCGCTCTCAATATTCAACTGATTTCAACAATATCATTGATGAACTGAGCAACACAGTTTAAAACTCACTTGTTCTTGTTTTTCTATAAACTGCGCATTGTGGCCTGTAATGACATAGAAAATGAAGTGATTTAAGGTTCATTAAGAAGTAGACCATAATCGTTCAGTAAGATTGTTTCATAAACCTATGTTTCAACGAATAATTGAGTAGTAGACCAAATTTCGTCGCTGCTGATCGAAGCTAGAACGTGCTACAATCTACTCAATTACTGATCATGTCAACTACAAACCTGATGAATTGGAAACAAGGGAAACCACCTCCACCATACAGTACGTACTATATTGATGACATTTACTACATCAATGAATATCAAATCAACTCACCAGTTCACAGTAGGACCGATTTTCAATTGAGGAATATTCACTTGACATTTCCTCAAAATAGAACAACTGGCAACACGGGAAAAGGGATTATCACGACGTCAGTACTGACGCCGCCAAACTGTATGTTCGAAGGTTCCACACAATTTTAGGGTATTCAAATGGTGTTTCTTGGAATATTATATACAGCATATTTTATCAAAGAATTGATGAACTCATGTTATTTCACGACTATATTTCAATTATATGCACATCTAAATTGAATTCACGCATTTGTATCCTTGCCTATTGGAGTTGGACACCTGAAATTTTCGCTCAGACTCGAAAGATTATAACTTCCAAACAAATTGAACGATATCAATTTGGTTTCCGGATTTCAGAAGTTCACTTTAGTGTCTTCAGAATGATTCATTCGATTACCAATAACCATAGATTTCTCCACAAGATAATAATTAAATTAATTCACACTAGAGGACATCTGAATCGGTGAACGTGAAAACCCCGCTCGCACTACTTGTAGGCGTGGTCTCGTCAGCTCTCAGCATTCAGTCCAATGGTGCCAAATCTCCAACATTCACATGATATTTTGTTATGTAGAATGAGGAATATTTGGACATGCCGGTCGTCGGAAAGGTCAATAATAAACTATAATGTTATGAGTTCCTCCTATTATGTTTCATTCAATAACAGGACTCTTACATCTTCTTGATGACTTGATTAAAATTGGTGACTTGCTCCATGAGTGGAAATGGAAGATTATCTGGCCAATATCGAAACAGCATAAAAACTGACCATTTCGACTCGCAAATTTTGCTTTCGCACGGCTTCGCTAAACGCTCTTTCTCGCAGAGGCAAAATTCGCTTGTCAAACAGGCTACCTTCAAGAGGTATACATGTTTGTGCTATAAATATGCTATCGTAAAAAATAATACAGTGCCCGTCTAAAGTCAGTTTCCCCCCTTCTAATTTTTGAACAACCTGGTATATCGCAAAGAAATTTGGAGGGCTCCAATAGGACATAAATACCTACTTTTTCATGAAAAAATTCGCGTCAAATGATTCAAAATGGCGGCTGAGCGCCATTTTCAAATTTTTTTTTTCACAGGAAGTGACCAAAATCCATACTTCATTTCATACCAGAATGTCACCTTCCAATCGTTAATATTTCGAAAATAATCGAATTTAGGAGTAAAGTGTATGTATGTTCGATTTTTGCATGAAAAAGTTGTTTTTTCTATTGAAGCCATCTAAATTTTGTTGCAATATACCAGGTGATTCAAAAATTAGTAGGGAGGAACGGACTTCAGACCGGCACTGTATACCATTTGTTATTGTCAAATACACCTAAACCACAGATTGAGAACAAGCCATAATGCATGGAGGACATGGTAGGATTTTTTCATAAATTAATTTTCACCCTCGAAAAGGATGTAATCACGTCTGGACATCTGTCACTATCTGCCGGTCTATGAAAAGAATCTCATCTATTTACCTCCAGAAAGATGATAATATAATCTTCTATACTATGTAGCTACTGAAAATGAAGAAAAGTTACTATGCAAGCTTCTACTTTGGGTAGAATATCTCGAAAACTGTTCATATTAGCTCAGATTGGAGGTAACGCATTTTTTTAATGAAACTGAACAATGAATTAAAGAAATCGAAGATAACCAAAATTTCATCAGTGGTGTAGAAAATACACACATCCCCTCGTAGCGCACCACTTGATAAAATGTCCGTAATGATATTCTGGTCCGAAATGACCCATTCAAAGATGACACCATTCACCGAATTGAAATGTAAAAGAAATGGATCATTCTTGAGTTGAATTGAAAAAGCAATTTCAACCTGTCAAGAGTTGTCGGTCAAGTTTTGAAACACCCTGTATACTTATGACTTGCTTATGTATATGAATAATTCGGGAGGTTTCGGGAAAAAAATATTTCTACATATCATCTAGAGGTGAAAAAGATAATCCTGTCGTATTTTGATAAACCGTGTCATTCTTGAATAATTTAATGTTAACATATCAGCGTACAAAGATTACTTATTCCCGAGCGTACATAATAATTAAAACATGTGAGCACGTAGAGGTTGGAAAAATTTGGTTAAATAATAATATATCCAGTACGGAAAAAACGCTCAGACACGCAGATTATATTTTTCCTGTGCGCATTTTTTGCCCTATTTATATTATTATACAGGGTGTTTCGAAAAAACCTGACCCCCTTGCTCGGGTAGGTAGAACATTGCAAAATAAGTTGAGTTTGCTCAGTGAAAAAATGTCGTAACGGCATCCATTTTCAAGATACAAGGTGTTGAAAGAATATTTTATTTACACATTTTTTACGATTATGTTGAAACTACTGGCAACATTGTGATGAAATTCTGTATAGATGTGCTCTGAAAGCTGACACACCGCATGAATTTGTTTTTATATCTGACACGCATAGAGGGCGCAAGTTACACGGTTCGTACCGAGTACTTTTTTGAGGTTAGATTTTTCAGTCAAAATTTAATGTGAACTTGAACCCCATTCAATTCCACACCAAAATGATTCTCTTGGTAAAACTCGATCTTGTGTACCGTTTTAGAAATATTTCGCTTTGAAAATGACGAAGCCATAACTCTGATTCTGGTATTGAAGTAAATATTATAAATTATCTATTCATAAAGGACTGAAAACATTAACATTATTTTACTGCTGAAGTTATCGATTGGACAAAATCACATCAGAAAATATTTTATTAAATTTGACTAAAAATATCTATTTAGAGTAAGTGTCCAAAATGTCCTCCGTTTCCACGAATACACAATTCGATCCTTTTTTCTAAAGAATGCATCAATCTTCTCAACGGTTGAGGATCAGCTATGAGATTATCGAAGTGATGTTCAATTTTTTCTTGCAGCTCTTGACGTTGTCATTAATAAATAAGGAACAGTCTTTTATAATACTTTCGACTAGGGTCAGTGTTATACTTCAGCATTTTCAAATCGAAATATCGCGAAAACGGTACACAGCATCAAGTTTTACCAAACCCAACATTTTTATGAAAAATTGAATGATGTTCGAGTTCACATTAAATTTGGACTGAAAATTTCAACCTCAAAAAAGTTATGTTTAAAAGTATAGAATTGGGTATTAATTGACAATAAAAAAAAATTATGAAGACGTCATAACTCGAACAGTGATAAGGTAATAAAAAATATGGGAAGACCACAAAATGTGCAACTGAAAAAGAAAATCAACGTATCTGAGCGTTTTTCACGCACTGGCCATATTGAGCTTTCAACGAATTCGTTCCAACTTTTACGTGCTCACTATATATATTATCAAATCAAATAGCACACTGCGATCAATATAGCAGTCAACGTTGCGATTGACATATCAACTTTTTAAAATTCAAATTAAATTTTTTTACGAAATACTAGGAAGGTTTTTTTAGTGCGTAGTTCTTCGATATCTCGAAAACCATAAACTATAGAGAAAAACTCGGAAGGAAAAACTTTTTCAGTTACTGAAGTTGCTCATTTCAAAAATATTTTCAACATTACTGAGTGTTTTATAAAAGCATGACGACTTGGAGACGAGTTTTTTTCAAATGGAACACCCAGTATTTTTTATTCGGAATTGTTCTTCAACAGGGTGCTCAATTTTGCATTCAAATGGAACACCCTGTATTTTTATTCACAAATTCATTCCGACATGTTTCGCCTTTTCATCGCTGGAAAAAAATCGAAATCGGCTGCGGCGTTGTCAAGTTATGGATAATTTCCTTATTTCTACTACTTTTTCGGGGTAATTTGTACGTCATAGTTCTTTCATTTATTCGTGTTATGGAAATATTGCGTTGCTATGGTATAATCAAATTCCTCCTTTGACCATTCATATATTTTTCACAATAGGAACATTAACAGGCTCTCCAAGTTTGAATTCAAAACAGAGTGGGTTTCGACTAGTTGATCGCAAATGCTACTTTCACAGATCTTTTGCAGACTATGGATTCATTTTTTGAAATACACTTCTATTATTTGTGTAATGACTTGTCAAACATCGCCAAAATCAAATATATCTTGAATTACTTACCTATAGGGGACAATTTCGAAGATTTTTGCGCCACTAAAGATGATGGGCCCAGATATTCGATTTATAATCCATGTGTTTGTGAGAATTTCAGGTATTTTTCAGTGTATAATTGTGCTCCAGTGGGTTTTTTGGGAATCTTGATGATAAATAATGGGTTGACGCTCCGAACTAAAGAATGCAATTAACATAGAAACTCTATGAATTAGGTTCAAGTGTTTGAGCAAGCCTTTAGACCACTATTCTGAAGGCCTTCAGACCACTGTTTCAGAGGCAGACGTTGCTCTTGACATGTTTGTTTGTTCCACATAGGTATACATATAATTTAAATCATAAGTAACAAGATTACGGAATATTTCGAATTTGGACAATGCACATATCGCAAAAATACCTGAATGATCTATGTAGAAGTGTAGAACCTCGAATGTCATGTGACAAGCAATATTCCCACACTCAAATCATATAAAGGAACCATGCCTTATAAGTAGCCCTGAGATAGTGATAAACATAAGGAAATTACTCATAACTTGAAAACGCCACAGCCGATTTTGATTTTTTTTTATCGATGAAAAGGCGAATGTTGTAGAAATAATTTTGTGATGAGAAATACAGGTGTTCTATTCGAAAAATTCTAATGAACGTATTCGTCTGAATCTTACAATATTCAAAATGTAAACTTTAGCACCCTGTAAAGCATCATCTCGCGAAATTACTGGATGAGACCTTGCTACTACTGTATGAAGTGAATATTTTCAAAATTTGAATAAATGAAATTATCATGCCCAATTCAACATGACTCTTCAAAAGTGGTAAAAATGGGTTTATCAATTATTATAACATTGCAACGCCGCAACCAAATTCAATTTTTTTTACAGCGATGTGAAGGTAAACTTCGGCGGAATAAATTCCGAATAAAAAATACTGGGTGTTCCATTTAGAAAAACTTGTCCTCGAGTCGTCCCGCTTTTATAAAACACCCATTAATGTTGAAAATATTTTTGAAATGAGCAACTTCAGTAACTAAAAAAGTTTGTTCTCCAAAGTTTTTCTCTATAGGTTATGGCATTCGAGATATCAAAGAATTACGCACTAAATGGACACACTGTATACAGAGTACCTATATAGACAATTTTATGCCAGCGTGTATATCCTTTATGTATGTTTGGTTGCATACGCCATCGATGAAGGATAACAATAATATTGAATAACATTATTGAATCAGTCTCTATTTTCATAGCTGAAGAAACAATGAGATTGTTATTATATCAAACTGAATTTATTTCCAGGTATTTTTTGTTCTGAGAAAGAAGAGTAAACAGATTTCATTGTTACATATCTTGCATCATGGACTCATGCCTATAGGATGCTGGGTTGTTGCCAAATATTCACCGAGTAAGTTCTTATCCCTATACCTACTGTTTTTTTCAGGCCAGAAAATGAATCAGATTTTGATTTCCCAAAGGAACACCCCACATTTCATCACATTTTTGGAATCAGCTTGAAAGGTATTTTGGGTGTCATTGGGTCATCAGATGTTGAGTTAGTTTATATTCTGACTCATTCACATTTCTATCTGCTCATGCACAATTCTTATCGTCCACATTTCGATTCTGAAACAGTCTTCGGATACACTCGAACGATGCCTTGTTGCCAAACTGATTAATAATTAAAAACTATACTTTCCAGGAGGCAGCTTTGTCTAGGCCGAGTTAGATTAGATTATTCAGGAAAAGTAATCTTCGATCGATCGATGTTGTAAAATATATTTTTCAGGAAGAAGGTTCATTTAGGCCGAGTTAGGTTGGATTGTTTAACGGTAGTAGTGTCCTTCGATCGATAAATCGATGTTAAAATATACACTTTCAGGCCAAGGTTCATTCAGGCCGAATTAGGTTAGATTATTTAGAAGAACTTGTTTCCTTTCTTATGCAGAAAGGATATTCTCATTGTGAGCCTATCGACACATTGTGTAACATCTACGTTTGGCAACTTATAGGGTATGTTCGGAGACTGTGGGTATATTGGAATGAGTGCCTAACGAAATGTAAGTCTATCGAAATGTAAGGGAATTGGAATGTGCACGAAATGTGGATAAATCGAAAAGTGAATGAATCTAAACGTGGGCGAATCAAAATGTGGTCTAATCGAAACGTAACCGAATCGAAATGGTGGTTCAACGCAGCGCATCCCATTTTCCCTCTGTTAGTCAGGACCACTTTCGATGCCGAAACCTGAGTATCTGGAAGCATTTTCGATAACAATTGAGTAAATGGATTTCTCCTCCATTTCGAACACGCTGAATCCAAAAATCGTATATCCTGATTCTTTTGGACTAATACCGTAATTTTTCCGGTTATTTAGCCCAAGTAGGCTGCAATATTTTTTTGTACGACGATATCGTTGAGAACATTGACCAGAACCGACCCCAAGAGACATTTCCAAGATAGCGGCAGAATGAAAATAACGTAGGTATCTCTTCACTACTGAGGGCTAGAAACTTATGTGGGTTTTAGAACAACATTGTCAAAATATGAATCCCTATCGGTTTCCATAGTATACGACTTAGTTGCGTTTTAGCAAAAAACTACTCGAAAAGTTCATGGTAACAGTACTCGCGATATACAGTTAAAGTCAAGTGTATATATACTCTTGGAAATATTACTCCTTTCTATTTCAACACCGCTGAATCCAAAAGTTATTAATGGTAGTTCACCTAACAACTGCGAAAAGTTACTTTACTCACGTGTTAAGTTTTTTTTTTCTACTAGCGTGCGGAAAATAAACCTAAATTCCTCTGTTCCGCACTCATTTTAGTGTTGATAGTTCGGAAAGTTACTATTTCAACACTAAAATTAGAACGCTAGTGGAAAAAATATCCATTTTTCAATTTCTTTCGGACTATATACGTCTAATATTTAGGCGCATGTTTTCAAAGACAAGCATATCATTGGAAACCTTATGAAGGTGAAAGTCCCAATATGGTAGCCAATATGGCGACAGAAACTGAAAAATGCGTATCTTTCATCTTTAAGGGATAGAATAGTGATTCAAATTGCTTGCCAGATATGAATTATTGAAGATTGAATTTATATTGGAATGATTATAGCGACACACGAAAATCACATTTCCGAAATGTTGGTCAATATGGCGGCAGAGAATTGCGTATCTCCAAAGTCCAGTTAGAGGTTCTCCATGCACTTGGTTCTTTAGGACACAGAAGTGATCTGAGGCACAGTAAACATGTTCAATATGGATTTGTTCACAACATGAATATCTTTCGGAAGAATCAAACATATATTTTCGTTGGACAAGCACTCAAAGAAATAGTCGGTGGTAAATACCAAACGTTTAGTAAAATAGGCGCCAGTCACTACATTCATCAAATAATACCACTACGAAATTATATCATACTAAACTATGAGTAGCATACTATCTTGTAGTGGTATTACTTGATATAATATAGTATCAATCAATGTTGTAGTGGTATCATTAGATTAATGTTGTGACTGGCGCCTATTTTACTAAACGTTTGGTAATTACTACCAACTATTTTTTTCAGTGAGAGAAATCATTTTTCAAAATGATATAGTAAAACGCAAATATTGATTTGAATATTCATAATGAATGTTGGAAACTAAAACGATTACCTCACTTGATTTGAAAATAATCAAGTCGATCCATACAGGCGATCTTCTTTGTATTTGCATCATCATCACATATTATTTGATATATCAACATGTGCTTTGCAGATACACGATTATTCACCGCCATTTATAAATGATTTTGTTCTCAATAGCCCACATCTGGAAATCTGAATCAACTTCTCATTCCTAAGTAGATGGAAGATACGTGCTCTTCAAATTACGTCGCCATCTTGGCCCCCATCTTGGGAATTTACCTTCCAGCTATAGTTTTGAGGTTTCTCATGATATTCTATTCTACCTGAACATATAGATATATCACAGTTCAATCTCTTTACATTAACCAGATATGTCTTTCCAGTCAAATCTTATGCCCGTGGCATTTGAATTCAGGTAATTGTGCAGAAGACTTTTGTACCTAGGTACTAGGTATCAGAATCACGTTCATAGTCCAGAGAGTTCGGCAAATACAAAAGTTATTTGGATTTTGCCACTTTCTTGGTCTTTGTCTTGAATATCTTTTCTGATGGGATATCGATGTTGCTGATATTTTCACAGCAGGAAAGGTCTTGGACGATCACAATTTTTTTAACTCTTGGAGCGCATGAAAGGGGATCCTCATAATGTTCATATAGGTGAATGGTGTTTCTCTTGGTAAAGTCTTGGAGGGCAGGATATATTTTGAGAATAGCTGGAATTCCTATGATAATGGATGTCTTAGTATGGAGTGGAAAGATGGAAAAACGAATGTGGTGGTTTCCAGCGACATGAATGTTGTGAAAGAAATTGAATAATTATAGAGGTATAAGCATAGAAGTTAGATACTTTATCGTGCATGGTCGTTGCAATTACGGCAAAGTTTTTGTTATCGAAGAACTTGGCGATTCTTCAAATTCCGAACTAGATACCTAATGTATCTTTAGCTTTCTTGATTGGCAAAGATTATAATAATTTTCATTAACTTAAAGACTTACAGACTAGAGTTATTTTCATACGCAAATAATTATAATGACATCATAGCTATATATAGAAGAAAACATTCCTATACATTGTTTATGAAACGACATTCAGTTATTTCCTATATAACAAAGCAAGCACTGATAAATTCAATTGTTCGTCAGTCTCATGAAATATGGATCGTGATTCTGATGATAGCTTAAATTGGACAGAGATGTCCGCCATTATGGTAGATGAGGATACGACGAACAACATTTATTACAAGTATTAAATCATATTATAGGAAAAACATTCCAGACATCCATTGGACTTCGCTAAATAATCCTTAGGTGGAATCTATATAAACCATTTGCTAATCGATTGAATCTTTATATTCGAATAGTGAGTTTATTATATTTTCAATTTTCATGTGATATAAAGAAAAATCAAATTCGAATGCAGCAAAAGTTTTGGAGCACTTCCTATTTTATTGGCGGAGATACTGCGGAATCTGCCCTCTTTCATAATATGTCTATTTCATTGGATGTCTAGTTTTGTGGAAATGGATATCTGATGGATATCCATTGGGTGTCCCTTTGGACATAAACTGACGTCCAATGGATATTCCTAATACCCTTTTTGGACATCCTTCGTTCATCCATTATATGTACATACCCTAATAACACAAGATGTCCATTGGATATCTGCATTGTGTCTATTATATGTCCAAGGTGTCCATGGACAAATTCTGGACAACAATAGGATGTCCACATAAAGATATCCAATGGATGTCCAGGTCAATCCATATGGTGTCTATTATATGTCCAGGGTGTACATGGACACAATCTGGACAACAATAGGATGTCCACATGAAGATATCCATTGGATGTCCAGGTTAAGTTATCCATATGGTGTCCATTCCAATGCTCCCTCTGATAATGTTACTTAACATAATCTTCTCGGGTATCATCGACGTCGTTCGGCTCCTTCGGTGACCATAGGCCGACAGGGTCAGCTATCATAGTAGTGACGCCGTCCACCAGTATTGTTATTGTTGTTAACGTTGATACATTGATAAATGTCTGAGGCTACTGAGACTAATTCCTAATAACACACGTTATCCAGACGACATCCATTTTATATCCATTTGCCGTCCAAGACATCCATGGACGCCAAATGGAACTATCTTATGATGTACATTGTTGTATATCCAGCTGATGATCAAGTTTGTACTCCATCTGGAAGCCTATCTATGTCCATGGACGCACATCGAATAGCCACTTGGATGCCCATACCGGATACTTGGCAGTACATATTGGACATCCATAAGTGTATTGTCGAGATGTCCATTGTAGCGAGAAATTTTGAGAAGAGTGAAATGAGAAGAAGAAGATCTGAATTCATCTGTCAGAATTCGAAATATAATATAGGTTATGTTTATTTCATTCATTCATTTTGGTGGACTTTCATGATAATTACTAGTATTTTATAGTTGAATTATGCCCCAGTTTCCTGCTTTATACGGCCTTCATACAAGTAAGTTCTCATTATTTATGTGTCTATTCAGGTGTTCCTAATTGCGAAATGTTACGATAACATAACATATTTCTTGGATAGGTAGGTAAAACACCCTTCACCAGAATGAACAGAAGGAAAAGGATTTGAAACAGGTTCTTCCGACGTATCTACTATAAAGTAGAAGAAAATTCATCAGATGTTGACAAACTCTTGAATGATACTGATGTGTGGGCAAGAATCACTGACAATTTCGCAGTACCTAAACTGACGATAAAAATTTATGGAACACCTTTTTCACAACATGTGGCTCTTGCATGATGAGGCTCCACCACATTTCACTCTGAATGTCCATTGCTGTTTCATTCAACAGTTTTTAGATAATAAGTAGATGAAACGGCAGAGGAAATATACTATAGTTTATGGGGAGCAGTACCTATAAAGTTTAAGGTGTACTTCAGACAAGTAAATACTGAACAGGAATTATGGAGAGGGATTCAGAATGCATTGAATATTTTCAAAAATAATGCAGAAACGATGCAAAATATGCATTTCAGTTCAATTTATCATCCTAAGTAGGTACTATCTATTTGTTTATTATATTATATACTTTGGGTTATACCCATGAACAATGTTTGAAATAAATGAAAATAACATAACCTGTCTTTTGAATACGTATAGGATGGTATATATGTCCAATATATGGACACCATATGGATGTCCATAATGGACACCAAATGGATGTCCGTATGTATGTCCTAAAATGTGGAAAGCTGATATCCTATGGACATCCATAGAATGTCCTGTGTACACAAAGTGGTTATCCTATTGATGTCCAGGATGTCCGGGTGAGGATATCCATTGGATGTCCAATGGATGAAGGTGTGTTATTAGGGATAATCTCATAATTTTCAGATATATGTATGTATAGCGCTCTGATTATTTCTGCATGTTCGAATTTGTATTGAGTGACATTATTGTAATAATCTGTTCCTTAATATGTGTGTTAATGACGTCGACACTTGCTTGTGTTTTATCGTTATGCCATTTCGGTCGAAGAATAAATAGATCACTTGAAGTGAAGAGCCATCCAAGGATGTGTTGATAGAGATGTCGAAGAATTTCAACTAGTAGAACGGATCTGAAATTGAGTGCGTATTGTGTCAAGTCAACCAAACTGAAATGATGAGGGAAGGTTTCATAAGAAACAACATAGCACACCAAGCTGATATAGAATAGTATAGTACCTAGTGTTCTTGAATACAGGGTGTTTCACAGGTAAAGGGAAATATTTCAATGGTAGATAGGGGTCACCAAGGTGGTTCTGAAAATACCATATTTGATAGCTCTTAGAGTTTTCATAACGGAGATACAGAGCGATTTATCGATTTCGAATAATTATTCATTCGTCTATAAGTATTGAACCACCCAGTATATTTTCTTAAAATTTGGTATGGAGCTTAAACTTGGGACGTTGAATTCATTCACCTATCGGGCGAAGAGAAAATCCAGGTTCGGCTTCAGGAAAAATTCACATTTATTCGAAATTTTGAATTAACACACTGTATGTAATAATTGACAGAGTTCATCAAAGGAATCGTAAAGAGGAGGAAAAACTGAACTGGATTTGATGCTTTTTGTTTTCCCGCCACCAATTCTCATCGTAACAATCATAAACAGAAAGTTGAAAGTATGTCAATTTGAAGAGTATTGAAATCATGAAACCAGTGTCAATTATGATTATTCGATATATTTTAGTCAAAAATCGCTCGAAAGTACTTACTAAGTCTCACAGTTTTTATAACGGAGATACAGGGTGAATTATCGGTTTTGAATAATTATTCACTCGTCCATAAGTATAAAACTACCAAGTAACATTTTCTCAAATATGGTATGTATAGCTTACTTGGGACGATGGATTCATCAACCTATCAGGCGGAATTATAATTCGATAATTCACCCTGTATCTCTGTTATAACAACTGTTGTAACAATCATAAACAGAAAGCTGAAAGTATGTCAATTTGAAGAGTATTGAAATCATGAAACCAGTGTCAATTATGATTATTCGATATATTTTAGTCAAAAAATCGCTCGAAAGTACTTACTAAGTCTCACAGTTTTTATAACGGAGATACAGGGTGAATTATCGGTTTTGAATAATTATTCACTCGTCCATAAGTATAAAACTACCCAGTAACATTTTCTCAAATATGGTATGTATAGCTTACTTGGGACGATGGATTCATTAACCTATCAGGCGGAATTATAATTCGATAATTCACCCTGTATCTCTGTTATAAAGACTATGAGACTTTTCCTGAAGCTGAACCTGTATTTCCATTCTGCCTGATAGGTCAATGAATCCATCGTCCCAAGTAAGCTCAATACCAAATTTGAGAAAATATTACTGCGATGGGTAGTTTAATACTTATGGACGAGTGATAATTCACCCTGTATCTCTGTTATAAAGACTGTGAGACTAAGTAAGTTCTTTCGAACGATCATTTAACAAGAATATATCAAATAATCATAATTGAAAGTGGTTTCATAATTTTAATACTCTTGAAATTGACATACTCCAAGCTTCCTGTTTATGATTGTTACGATGAGAATTGGTGGCGGGAAAACAAAAAGCATCAAATCCAGTTCAGTTTTTCCTCCTCTCCACGATTCCTCTGATGAACTTTGTCAATTATTACATACAGTGTGTTATTTTAATATTTCGAATAAATGTCAATTTTTCCTGAAGCCGAACCTGGATTTTCACTTCGCCCGATAGGTGAATGCATTCAACGTCCCAAGTTTAAGCTCCATACCAAATTTTAGAAAAATATACTGGGTAGTTCAATACTTATAGACAAATGAATAATTATTCGAAATCGATAAATCGCCCTGTATCTCCGTTATGAAAACTCTAAGACCTATCAAATATGGTATTTTCAGAACCACCTTGGTGACCCCTATCTACCATTGAAATATTTCCCTTTACCTGTGAAACACCCTGTATAATCACATTTGGAATAAATATAACAACCAGAAACATAGATTCTATTTATTGACTAGATCCTATTCCAATATAATATGAATGCATACATTTGAGACATCCTATTGAATTTACCATATGGATGTCCAAGACAGATACCATATGGATGTCCAAGACAGATACCATATGGTTGTGCTTGACGTATACCATATAGATGTCCATGACGGATACCATATGGATAGCTAAAAAGTTGGAAATGCGATATCCTATGGATGTCCTATGAATTTCCGAGATGTCCTGAGGAGGAACTCCATAGGACATCCATTGAATCGAGTTGTGTTATTAGGGTACATGTGTTATATGCGGGTTCTTGGTGTTTTTCAGGTGGACAAGTAACATTTGTTGGACTACTGAATTCTTTCGTCCATATTGTTATGTATTCCTACTATTGGCTGAGTGCGTTAGGCCCAGAAGTTAGGAAATATCTTTGGTGGAAAAAATACCTCACTGGTCTGCAAATCGTAAGTATAAATCGAAATATCAGGAGAAAATCGTATACCTTGGGGTCCTATGCCAATGAAATTTTTTTTTTCTACAAACGTCAAAAAATGACATGGTTCGCGCATTGATAACAAATTGCGAAGTGACACTTCTTTTCAGTTTCCTACGTTACCATAATACCTTGCACAAAACAATGCGCGAAGTAAAACAGTGCGCGAAGTACCTACTTCGCGCATTGCTATGTAAAATATATGAGATATTTATATTTCAACTTTATGGTCCTCATTCGAGCAAACATCCACGAAATCATTAATTCCTGAATGTTCAACAATAACTTTGTTTCATCTCTTGGAGCACACGAAAGGAAATTCCTATTATGTTCGTGGAACATCGTGCGTAGCTAGGGACGCCTTGTGAGCCAGTTCAACACTATGTTTTATATCAAGCTAAGAACTATATTTTTTGACGTTTGTAGAAAAAATGTTGTTTGCAACTCGAGCGCGAAATACGTTGGTCATCTCGGCTACGCCTCGTTAAAAAATCAGATCTCGATCACCAAAGTAGCATTTTGCGCTCTAGATACCATAATAACTGTATAGATTTTTGATTTTCATGTAAGGTGAGAACAAGTTGAAAAATAGGTCTTTGGAAGAAGTCCATGGTAACTCAAAGTGGAGTGGTGTAGTTCATGGATGAAAAACCCAAAAACCCAGAGTCATCTCCACAACTTTTATTGAAATGATCAAAGATCATCAATGGTACATGTTTCGGGCTTATATAAGCCCATCATCAGCCGATAAAATAGTTCAAAGTTCTAGAAAAAACCGGTATTGACTTAGGATATAAATGCAATGAGAGCAAACAAAGGCAACTGCTCCATGATCTGGAATACAAACAGTTAAATAGATATGTAAAGGAAGTTCAGAATCGGAAAACTTACTGTTAATGTAAAATTGTGTTTTTATAAAAAGTATAAGAATTATTTTTAAAATTCTTATGAAATGATTATTCAAGGGTCGGGTTCATATTTTATAAGGGACCACGTGCCCTTAAATCACCGGGGATCATGGAGCAGTTGCCTTTGTTTGCTCTGTTATTGTCCATGTTATTTGAATTTCAACTTTTTCCACTTCCATGTAAGTAATCAACCATTGCATTTATATCCTAAGTCGATACCGGTTTTTTCTAGAACTTTGAACTATTTTATCGGCTGATGATGGGCTTATATAAGCCCGAAACATGTACAATTGATGATCTTTGATCATTTCAATGAAAGTTGTGGAGATGACTTTGGGTTTTTCATCTATAAAAAATAGGTGTTTTGGTTTTGGAGCTATAATAATTGTCACCAACTACACTATTCCAATGGAACTATTTTTATAGATTTTCGATTTTTCTGTTAGGTAGGTATAGATATTTGAGAAAAAATTCTAAAAATGGGTGTTTTCATTTTGGAGCCATAATCCTAGCCAACTATCACCACATATACAGTATCTTTCATAAAGTTGGCATCAAATGGGTAAAGCTTTTGAAAATAATTTATTTGAAAATTGGATCGAAAGGCTTGTTTGGAAAAAGAATGATGCTCCAAATCATCTCCACCATATTTAATATGTGAACAAAGCTAAGTTGCAAATGGGGACATGTTTCGGGCATATAAGGGTACAGGCCCCTCTCAAAATAAAAATACCTGTTTTTATATTATGATAATTTTCTATGTTCACCATTCAAGTCGATTAGATTCAACAACCTCGAAGAACAATTTTTCATCCTCATGACGTTATAAACCTTGGCTGATGATGGGCTTGTCCCCATTTGCAACATAACTTTGTTCACCTATTAAATGTCGTGGAGATGATTATGAGATTTATTCTTCCTTCAAACACTACCACTCCACTTTGAGCAATATGGACTTCTTCACACGTTCAAAAGGCTTGTTTGTTCGAATTGTTCTATGCCAATTCTAGGCATGTTCCTCGAATTCAACTTGCGCAACATTCAGTTTTTAATATTTTTCCAATTTCTGCGATATATCTGTAATATTAAACAAAATTACTGGGACAAATCTGTTTCTCATCAGTAGCCTCATCATTCTACTAACTTTCAGTAACTCATTATCGACAAAAATGTGATTTTCTTCAGAAAATAGTGATCGCTGCTTCAAAGTTTGGATATGCTTGATGCAAAGTTGATATACCTATCATCTATCGTCCAGCATTCAGGAGCGAAATCTATTCAAATGGATTTCATCGGTACTGCAATGATGCTAGTCATCTATCAAAATATTATCAAACGACTTCACGTATCTGACAAAAATTCAGGACAGTTTGGTCGAAGTTATAATTAGAAGGAATCAAACCATATCGAGAACTCGAAGTAACAAAAAACGTTCAAATTAGGCATTTCTTTTAAACTCTTGAACCGCACGAAAGGAAATCCCTCTAAAGTTTGAAGTACATCGTGTAAAATTGAAATAGAATCATCTTTTCTCGAAAGAATTCTTTGAAATATTAAGAAATATAAGCCCATATCGAATCTAAATTGAATTTGAAAAAATATAATTTATGACATGTAGCGAAAGTCATGTTAACCCGACCTAGTAGGCCATTTTCAATCTTTTTCACTAAAAACGACAAGTCGAAATCCAGAATAAATGGAATATGTTCCTCCACTTGGATGGATTTTGATATTTTTCAATCAGATTAATTTGTTTGCTTACGATAGGAAGAAACTAGAAAAAAATCTGAAATTGTATGCAGAGGCATGCATATTTCCAAAGAAATTTTGGACGTTTTCATAAGACGAAATTTTCTAGTAACTACTATATGAAAGATATGTAAATACAAGTCATAACTCATCATGCAATGTGTTGAAACAATATTTCTCAAAAGTTGTATAAAGTGATGACTGTCGTATCCTAGCAATGAAATGTTAATCTACGTCTTTGACTCGCAATAAATTTCAAAATATTCATTAGCACACAGCGTTACTGTCATATGTGATTCAGTGAAATTGTCACAATACATGTGATCAAAAACATATGATCGCTTCGTGTCGTTCGGGTCAACGGCAACGCGTGCGGAAAAGTATAACTTTCCGCACTTGTTAGGAAAATTACTATTTCAAGTTTGAAATCAGATCATGAGGCTCGAATTCTAGTCACCCTGTACATAAGACCCTGTGAATGAATATTCTGGACACATCTTTCTCCAAATGTATTGGCTAAATAAGCTCACATGAAATCTTATCGAGAATAAACATTATATTTCCGAAAACTTTATTTATTCGAAGCTTTGAAATGTAATTTTATTCATTTTCAGACTCAGTTTATAATAATAATCATCCACACTTCCCAACCACTTTTCCTGGATTGCGATTTTTCGAAAATTATATCTGCCTGGATAGCTTTGGAAACATGCCTGTTCCTAGTTCTATTTGGGAATTTCTACAGAGATGCTTACAAGAGGAAACACTCATCTTCAGAAGTGATGAATACCACTGCCGAAACATCGAACAAAGTCACCGAAAAATTGGATTAAAATCATAGAATTAATGTAGAATATTATGTTGCTACGATTTATTATATACATTAGACAACGAAGTCTGCACATTTTTTGTCGTAATCCTCAAGATTTGTGGAACAGCTCTCTAGCAAAACTCTTTTGTATTTACAGGATGCCTCGAAGAAACCTGGCCCCCTTGCTAGAGTAGGTATAACAGTGCAAAATGAGTTGTGTGGATAAATTGTTTTATTACGCAATTCTCACGAGTATGTCGAAACCACTGGCAACATTGCAATGGAATCCAATGTCCAACAGTCAGCGCGTCATCTGTCATACGTTGCCTGTCTAATATGTTTGCATGATGTGTCTCGTTTGCTTTTGACGAGGTTAGTAGTACTGAAAGTAAATGTAGTATACATCGTGTGTACTGAATATGAGCGTTTGCTTTCGGTGGAGCAATGGATCGTAGGCCAAAAGTTTCGCGTGATATATCTGTTGAGCGCTATTTTGAATCGATCGCCATTTTGTTTCAATGGCCATTTTGATAAAAATTCAGTGTGCGCCTGCTTTCGAGGAGTACCGGAAGGTCACGTGGTATCCGTCATACGTCAAACGTAAGTTGAGCGGTAAGTTTCAATGAGGACTGGAAGGTCACATGTCATTTATCATATGTTATCTATCATACGTCATACGTTGGCTGTAGTCTACTGAATGTATGTTAATCATGGGACAACCTTGTATATTTTCATTCAGCTGTTCTTATCAGCAGCCTACTGATAGCTTGCTCGTCGGAGCCGGATGACCTTGAAGTGGACAAAAAATTGCAGAACGGACCTTGAAATTTCTTATGGAGATTAATATGGAAAAAGTGGTCGAAAAAATCCCGTATTGGTATAGCTCATTTACTTGGATGTGTTTTGGAAGCTGACACATCTCTTTTTTTTTATCTGATTCTCATAGAGGGCGCTATAGTTACACAGTTCGTACCAAGTAGATTCCAACATAACTTTTCTGAGTTTACATTCTTCAAACCAAAGTTGATGTGAAATTGAACTGTGTTCGTTTTCGAAATATTTCGATTGGAAATTGATGAAGTGATAAATGTTGCTGGTATGAAGCTATGTATATTAGAGTAAGCATGTAAGTATCATGGAAAGCTATAACCTATTTATTGACAACCGAAAACAACAATACATTTTTATTGCTAAACTCATTGAATGACAACAATAATATCGAAACAAATTTGACCAAAAACATGGATGACACATCACACAGTTTTGTTGTAACTCAAGCAACAAGTCTTTGCTACAGAGGTATACTCACGTCATGAATTGCAAAACAGAATTTTACATAATAATAATAATAATAATAATAATGTGTCTTTATTCATCATCAATAAGGAAATCACACAAACAAATTAGAAAATACCTAAAAACGTTTACCACTGGAAACAGTTTATTTCCATGAAATATTGATACCATCTGTTTCCTCATCACATTTCGTCATCCATTTTTGGATCATCCAGGAAGTCCCTAACTCTCGAATAGCGGGAAATTATCAAAACTCTGATGTCAACTGATTTTGAGGTTATTTCAGTTCATCATATTGACTGCCTGTAAGATGCCTCTCAGCTGCCTGTCTAAAATGACACTCATTTTTGTTTTATGTCGTTATATCTTGATGTTTTGTGACCCCTGTCACTGTTTTCAGGTTATTTAAAATCAAAACGAGTTGAAAAAGAGCATTCAATAGTTTTCATAATTATTTTCGTTTAGTGGTTTATCTGTGAATCAGACATTAAAGCCATTCAAGCAGTACCTGTGTTTTCGTGTAAATATTATGTTGAGCCCTTATTAGAGAAAAAAGGAATGATCATTATAAAAATATGGAACATCCTATGGTTCGAGAGTTGTCATGATGAGAGCAAAAAAAATATTTTTCACAATATTCCACAACTCATCAGTATCAGAAACCTAGACTGAATGGGTACATCAACATAGCAAATCTACTACTGAAGTAGTGGAGTATCAAACGTTGACATGGTACCCACCCAGAGATGATGGGTAGGTACCCTAATAGCACACAACGTCCTAGGAACGTCCCTATTTGGTACAATTCAAGTCCGAATGTCATGGACCAAGAATAAGTGTCCTTGGGACGTCCCATCCCGTACATCTCACAATTTCCGAGCACGGACGTCCCTTAGACGACCCACGTGGTACATATAGAATGTCCATGCGAGGACGTCCTTGGCATGTCCCTGATGGGATATGATTTTAAACGTTCCTTTAGGGACATCCATCGGATGTCCCGAGTCGTACATATTCTGGCATGACTTCAGATCTTATATAATGTTTCTTCTAGACAACCATGAAATGTGCCTGATGATAGATTCCTTCAAATATCTCTGCACAGATGGCCTCAATATTTCCAGGATCGTATTACAATCGAAATGTACTCTTTCAATGTCCTAGAAATAACGTCCTACGGACGTCCCAGTCGGTACTTTCATTATGTTGTCCCTGCGAGGACGTTAACTTACACCTCGCTGGCGAATGATTGCCCGTAGGCTATAAATACTCCTCGTCGATGTCCTTCACGTATGTCCATTGGACATCCTTGGGAAACTTTTTCACGATCTATTGGGGACCTTCTACGGACCATCAACTCAACTGGATGTCCTCATCAGTTATGCAAGATCTGGTCCTAGAGGGACTCAGAGAAATTCAAATTCAAGAATAATTCGTATGTGATCCCTGGGACATCCTATGGACATCCAATTGATATCCCTCAGCGTTGCTGATAGGTTGTCCCACGGATATCCTGAGGATGTCCTCCGTAGTGCTTAATGAGAAATTCTGTAGGATTTAGGTATTCTAAAGTCGTCCTAGGGACATCCCACAAGGACGTCCCTAGTTGGTCCTCAAGTGGGACATTTGTGCGTCCCACAGACGTCCAATGGACGTCCACGGTACCAAATTCGAACGTCCTATGGACGTCCTGAATGTCTCGACAGGACGTCTTAAGGATATCCATGGGACATAAGTGTGTTATCAGGGATTGGACGTACGATATCATTTATTGGGCAAAAAATAAAACATCGTTTCAGCGATATTGTACATAATATATTCAATTCAATTATTGATAAGTACACATTTAAGATTGAGCAAATATATTCTTTATGTATGTTGGTGAATATCAGGGTTGTCCAAAGAAAACCTAAATTTGATTTTCGAAAAATAACTTATTTGTTCATTGACCACCAACTTTAGTGTTTTCTGACTTGTTCGTCTTTGAAAAAATGAAATGACGGGTACCTACACAACTTGGTCAAACTTATTTGAAACTTGCTGTGAATAAATTGTTGTTCCTTGATGATATCTCAGGAACTGTATTGACCAATAGTAGGTATCTTCTTTGGTGGCTTGAACGATAACAAAAAATCTTATGCAACACTAAAGATACCGTTACTGGCATATAAACTACTCAACACTAATTTCGTCGCACATCAAAATGTCGCCCCTGTTATGATGTGAATAACTTTTTTCAGTTCAGAACAATTTGAATCTGGTTCACACTGTTCGATAGCCCAGTCCTTCAGCTATAATCTCGTACTTCATTGAAACAAAAGGGTATTCACATAAAATCTCTACATGGTGTTTTCCGACACTGTGCAAAATTTCGGAATATTCAAAAGGCTCTCAAATGGTGAAAAATGTTTTTTTCTCAACTTTGACAACAGAGGCCTGAAGATGATCTCATCACCTCGAATATTTCGCGAATCAACTTCCTATCTCTCTTATTTACAGAGTGATCTCAAAAAATCAACTTTTTGGTTTTGCAGTCATAACTTTTTTCCACGTCAACCGATTTTGGAAATCTTAGGCTCATTCTGAAGATAAAACTCCAGATAGAGAGATCTGAATATCAGAATTGACTCAAGATGGCTATCAAAGATCTAAAGTTTTCTTGAAAGTGACCCAAATCTAGAACGCCCTCCAAATCTCGGTTGGGAGGAGAATTGAATGAAAATCAATTTGTTCTCGGAAAAACAATTAATTCTGGATGCGTCCATATTTTCCTCGCTCTCAGTAGTCAAGAAAGTGCGTGAGAAAACACAAGTGAAACAGGTTCTTGCAGAAACATCAGATCATTTCTCCTCTGTAATGCATGGCCCGTAACCAACGTTACAAGAATCACAGTAAGTGACTGACAAGTCAGGTTAGACGTCGTTTTCGAATCATAATCAGATGTCGATAGTTTCGATGCCGCATCTAACGCGAATGTGGGTGACAACTTTGTTCTTGTTGATGACAATGCGAGACCGCATAGGGTTGTTGGTAGGTACATCATTTATGATGAGCCTTAGCTGGTCGGGTTTGTCAGTCCATTGTGATTCTTGTAACGTTGGTTACGGGCCTTGCATTACAGATGAGAAATGGTCTGATGTTTTTGCAAGAACATGTTTCAATTGTTTTTTCTCACGCACAATTCTTGACTACTGAGAGCGAGGAAAATATGGACGCATCCAGAATGAATTGTTTTTCCGAGAACAAGTTGATTTTCATTCAATTCTCCTCCCAACCGAGATTCGGGGGGCGTTCCAGATTTGGGTCACTTTCTGATAATCAGATCTCTTCATCTGAAGTTCAATCTTCAAAATAAGCCTAAGATTTCTAAAATCGGTTGACGTGGAAAAAATTTATGGCTGTAAAACCAAAAAGTTGATTTTTTGAGATCACTCTGTAAATAAGAGAGATAGGAAGTTGATTCGCGAAATATCCCGAGGTAATGAGATCATCTTCATGCCTCTGTTGTCGAAGTTGAGGAAAAAAAATTTCTCGCCATTTGAGAGCATTTTGAATATTCCGAAATTTTGCACAGTGTCGGAAAACACCATGTAGAGATTTTATGTGAATACCCTTATGTTTCAATGAAATACGAGATTGTATCTGAAGGACTGGGCTATCGAACAGTGTGAACCAAATTCAAATTGTTCTAAACTGAAAGAAGTTATTCACATTATAACAGGGGCGACATTTTGGTGTGCGACGAAATTAGTGTTGAGTAGTTTAA